GTTCCTAGGTTGTTTCCTGTTTTCTTCTTCTTCTGATGTCCATCCTCTTTGCCTTTCTGGATGGGGATTGAGCGTTTTAGTCAGGGTCCTCTCTCTTGATTAGTTTCTTTAGATGTACAGTTTTTAGTGGGTTTATTCTATGTTGTATGGTTATAGTAGTGAGTATATACTGTGTGCATCTTTCTGCTTCTGGGACAGCTCACTCAGGATGATCCTTTCCAGGTCCCACCATTTACCTGCAAATTTCATGATTTCCTTATTTTTCATTGCTGAGTAATACTCCATTGTGTAGATGTACCACAATTTCTGCATTCATTCTTCAGTTGAGGGGCATCTGGGCTGTTTCCAGCTTCTGGCCATTACAAATAAGGCTGCTACAAACATGGTGAGCAAATGTCCTTTTTGTGTACTTGAGCTCCTTTTGGATATATGCTTAGGAGTGGTATAGCTGGATCTTGAGGAAGCGCTATTCCTAGTTGTCTGAGAAAGTGCCAGACTGATTTCCAGAGTGGTTGTACAAGTTTACATTCTCACCAGCAGTGGAGGAGGGTTCCCCTTTCTCCACAACCTCTCCAGCATGTGCTGAAAACCAAAATTTTAACTGGGGAGAACTGTTCCCCAGTGGAGTAGAAAACAAAAGTTTTTGGAAGAAAAGAAAGGGAGGAGAGGCAAAATGGCCCAAGGGCAGGGGAAGTTTTATGAAGCAAGTATCTGGAAACTGGAACAACCATTTCTTGCAGATAGCAGTAAGAAAGCAAACTGGTAAAGAGACTGATGAGGAAAAATGAAGTGGCTTGTGGGGAAAAAATTAGAAAGAAAGAAGAAAAGAGATGTATCCAATGTACATGATGGGTTAGGGAGGGTTGGACAGTTAGTAATGATCATAAAGCATGCTGGAGAGTGGAGAGGAGCTGGTTGGCATGAACCCATGAGGGCTGTGACTAAATAGAGAACATAACATACCCCAACTGATGGGAGGTGCTTCTGATGCTGTGCTTACAACACAGTCATTAGAAGTGTAAGCCCCAGACTTCCAAAGAAAAGCTGCAAATGCTCAAGAAATAAACTGAGCTCTCTATGCGGAGAGACCTGGAAAAATGACCAAACATGAAGAGTCAAACACTGGAGACATATGAGGACTGAGGATGAGAATGGCAAAGAGAGGTAGTAAAGGGACACCCTCCATTTTAGAATTTGTTAAAGTAACTGACTAGGATCAAATTAAGTTATGGAAATAAGTTAAAACAGATAGCAAATACAAAGTCTGAATAACACTGAATGGAACTATAGTTTAAAAGAGGACACTGGAAGAGATGAGACTAGTTAGGGAAGGATTTCGAGATTTGAGACACAACAGGAAACACAGAGGAATGCCATAGTAAGGTACATATAGACAACATGAGCCTAGCTTCAGAAAGCTCAAGATCGTGCCAAAGGACACATAAAAGAAAGAAATGGAAAGAAAAGACTATTTAAACAAACAAACAAACAAACAAACAAACCAAAATCCTGATGAACAGGGGCAAAGGGCGGCACTGTCTCTGCACTGAGGAGGGAGAGCTACACAGAACACAGAAGAACATGTGTGAAGTGCACATGGAGAGCTACACAGAACACAGAAGAACATGTGTGAAGTGCACATGGAAAGTGAGCCATGCTGTGTCCTCCACACTGAGAAGGGAGAGCCTACAGAGAACACAGAACATGCGTGAAGTGCATGTGGAGAGTGAGCCATGCTGAAAACATCTGTGCTGTGCCTGGGGAAAAAAACACTTTACACAGCATGGGATGTGAGGAGGTGGGAATGCTCACCAGGCCAGACACACTGAAAGAACAAAAGTCATGTGCTCTGTCCTTCAAACCTCCCTCCACGGAAGCCATAGCTCAACTAATTCGCTGTGTATGATTTTCTAACTAATATGTACAAAATGCTTAAAAATCTCATGCTTTTATTTTGTTTACATTACCAGTAATCCTGGCAAATAAACCATAATGGAATGGTCACAGGATTTTAAAGGATTGCTTTCTGTTCTCAAGTGCTTTAGGCTTTCAGATTTGTTGTTGTTGTTTAATATATAATTTCAGGAAAGCAATGAGCTCAGTACAGACACTGCTTCCACTTACAGGTACAGGCAGAGCTATAGGGAAGTGGCTGGGACCTAGTACATTGGCTCTTAAAGGCCCAGTGTAAGGGGACTGCACAGTACGAGATGGGTCCTTAAGGACCCTGAAGGATAAGCTCAGGGGTCAGATGGCAAAGTTAACAATGTTTCATTACAGAGTTGCAAACAAGAAAATTACAGAAGTAATAGGCATCACACAGCCAAATAATTCTGCAAGGATCTTCACAAGAATAGTAAAACAGTTCTTAGACTATGATATAGCCTTAAAATCCAGGATTTGGTTCTTAGGGAATATTTTGAATATTTGTTTGGAAGTCTTTACAGCAGAACACCACCTGGTTAAGCAACACTTTTTCATTGTAAGAAGAGCAGATTGCTACTCTTCTAAAATGAAGAACAGTGGTTTTCCTTGTTCAACACAATGCATCACAGAAATCAAGAACACGTCTGAGGTGCAAATACATTTCTCCTCTTAAAACACTATCCCCTAAACAAATAAGGTAGGCTTAGCTTTATCACATCATTTGTCTCTTCTGCACCAAGTCATGTTTAAACTAGGAGAGACCACAGAATCAACACTTAACAGAAGACAAAATACAAAGCAAACTGGTACGTTCCCACAGTATGTGAGGCATACAGTGCAAATTGGGGCGGCCAGAATCAGAGAGGACATTAGAAGCTGAACAGAAGTGCAACTGCACACGCTAACTCACTCATCCTCAGCTTTCCAAACCACAAAGAGCAAAAGCACGGGCAAGGAGACAGTCAGGTGCTACCTTGAGAATCTAAGACGCTATTGCTCTCTGAAGTAGAACCACCCCTTCTTTCTTCCTATTTCTAATAATAAGGTTTTGTAGTTAAAAACTAGCCACAGGAGAGAGCTAGGGCCCTGTTCCTTTTCCATACTTTACTGTCAGTGGAAACCCAGAGTGAGCCAAGAAATACCCTGAATTTTATCCCTTGGCCTCCACTGCCTTTGGCAAATGGTGAAGTCTTCATGAGGTTCTGAGGGAGGAATTTGTAACTGCATTTTGAGAACAGTGAAACAAAGATGACCCCACCTAAGGATCTGTAGAGAATCCTTACTTGTCTACTTCTCAAATTCCTCTTCCTGGTTTCATCCTCTCCCAATTATAGCCTGGCTTAAACTCCCAACAGCTGAAACTGACATCTTTATTCTGTAAAGTCTTATTTAACAGGAGTCCATGCCACTAGGTTTAACACACAACTGTTTTAAGCATGCCCTGCCCCTGGTAATCAGACATACAGTGGAACTTTAATAGAGTTTTAATATGAATTAAAGAGTCTTGAGTAGAGGCATAATTTTCCCCAGAGTCATGTGTTTCCTAAACACTGACATCTGTATTCTATATTCCTCCCTTTATATAATCCAGGCTGGCCTCATACTCAAACCCACCCTCTGGCTTCAGCCTCGTGCTGCCAAGAAAAAAAATAAACTAGTCCAACTTTAGGAAACAACCCAGCATTAACTTGTGGTACACAAGAATGCTCTACAGACCACCTTTTCTACTTTTAGGCCCAAAGGAAAAAAAAATAAAAATTCCTTGCATGAGCATACTAGTAAAAAACACAGAACAATATCATGCAAGTGTTGTCTGACCAGCAAGTAATGGTAAGCAACCTCAACAGCCACTAAATTTATAATATGGATACCTTTGAGGAGTGAATAAAAGGCACAAATGAGAAATATTTTAATGTTTACTTCTTAAGCTGACTATTGGGTATAAGGACATGGTTCTTTCATTTAAAATATGATTTTTTTTGAAGTGCCAGGAAATCAAACATACGGGCTCACACTTGATAGGTAGGCACTCTCCTCAATGAGCTATCTATGCCCAACCCTAAATTTCATTTTTAAAATATGAATGAAATGAAATGACTATGACAAGCACACATGGATAACATGAAAAGTAAATAAAGAAATAAGTTAGTTAGGTTTCAGACATTTCTATGGAGATGGGGTCTCAGAGAGAGCTACACGGCAAAATGGGATGTAGATGAAAAGAGCTGACAACTCATTCCCTCAGAAGGCATGTGGACCTGTGCAGTGCCACTCATACTTTAAAGCAAAAGGGGAAGTGCTTTCCAGGCCGAGGATGGCCTGGGCAAATGAAACACGGCAAGGCTCTGGAAAGTGGGAGTGTCTCATGATCATCTATGTTTAGTGGGGCTAGAACACTAGGGTTAGCAGCAGGCTTAAAAGAGGAGCTAAAAAAAAGATCAGCAAGTTTGAAAAGAAAAAAAACCGGCCAACAAAACTGACACTACAACACTAAAGCAGCATGGAGACTTTAAATCACAGGTTAGTCCTCTCATTTCCTCTGTGTCACTTCCCCAAAGTAAATAAGATCCACCACCATTCTCTCTTTCTGCCATTTCGAATGTGACTAGACTGCCATTCATTGACCTTAGACAATAAATCTTATAAACCAATTGCTTCTTTTGATACCAAATAGATGCAGAGCTTCGGCTGAGACATTCTATTTCAATGTCTAGTTAGTAATAACTCAGCTCTACTTCTTAAGATCTGCCATCACCTCTAGTCATTGTTGGTGATGGAGAGGAATAGTTGTCAACAACATTTTAAAGCCTGAAAGTAGTGTTAAGCCTAAACATTAACTTCTGTGTATTGGAGGCATATGTAATAAAATGAGAACAAGACAGATTTAGCATGGGCCTTGTGCAAAGATGGTATGGAAAAACTTAATTTCTACCCTGTATTGCCTTCAAAATAAGCTTTTAAAATACAATGTTCACACTCTAACTCTATGACCCAAACCATTCCAGAAATTGTTTTCCCCATTTAGTTTTTAGACACCGTAATTGCACATTGAGTTATACAGTAAAACTTCTTACCTGCACTTTTTTTAAAGCTACTGGTACTCCATCCAAGAGACAGGACGCTCTATAAACTTCACTAAATTGTCCACGACCAATTTTCTTTTCTATCCGGAAGTTGGCTAAGGTATTATAGCCCATATCTGGTCGTAAAGCCTT